GCGGGTACTTTCATTTTCTTTAAGACAAATAAACAAATTATGTTATCCATTAAAATTTAGTGAATTGATTATTCAAACATAAAAGATTTTTTTAAACATTTCATCGTTCCACGTACTTTAAACTAACACTTCAACCATTAAATATTTTATTTATTAGAGTTGTTGCTTCCTTAACTCTGTTGAAATATTTTCGCGAACAACTTTATTGTACAAATAAAGTATTTAACTTTTTTTGTATATTTATTGAAAATGGCCAGATATTGGCCGAAACGTCTAAGTTAAATCAGAACCTTGGTAATATATTAAAAATATCATAAAAAACAACCTATGCAGGGGTTTCATGCCTCCTTCAGTTAAATTTCATGATTAAAAAAAAACTACTTTCTTATTAATTATATTTAACTTTTATTTATTATTGCTATGAGCTGTAGATATATCACAGTTAAAATATAATCGAATACATCAGTTATAAGTTTCCCTTTTATGTTTTTTTTTTCATTACGCACAAAGCCATTTCTTTTATTTGCAGACTAGTGTAATGAATTTCAACGTATGTAGCTACAGTGACTATAGCCACAAAGCAGCGGCGTTTATATATCTCAAAGAGATTCCTCCCAAATTCTAAAATTGCATTACACTCACACACATGTTTAAATGTATTTGATTACAATTCCTCTTTACTAGTTATTTAAAATTGTTATTGAGTTTAAAGAGATGACGTAAATAGATAACCAGTCTTCTACAATACATAAGGTTATTTCTATTATTTTTCAGATCTTTATAATTTTTACAATTTTCAAAAGAGAAATTGTCTTGAGAGTTTGCATCAAGTTAAAATTATGGCGGCTGTATATGTATGAAGCGGTATGCATAATGGTAATAAGTTTGGTGCGTATATAGAAGCTAAACTTGTTTATAGTTCAAGCTCAGTGTAGAGAATTTTTCAAAATTATAGATAATTAGTTTGGTAAGACAAATATATGCTCAATGAGATATTTTGGCTTATTATTAGATTTAACGAACAATACTTCATATAACTTCATATAACCTCATACTTCTTTGATTGATGCAAAGCTAATTTTTTATTAATCAAAGCGCAGGAAACATCATTGCAAGTACATTCCATATTAAATTTATAACATACTATTCTTGAAATTATAAATCCATTTTAAACTTCACTTAAATTAACAGATCATAATTAAATTTCTATTAAAATTATAATTGTACAGAATTTTCCATTTTTTAAATTTATTTGCATTTTTTTAAGTATAAGTCTCCGCTTTTCATTATTTTCAATTGTTCATAATTTAAAAACTCGATTTTTTAAGATTCAATTTTTATTAATTTTCGGAATGTAATTTTGAAGAGATGATATAAATTAAGAGAATTGATAAACAAGCGTGGCGATTATAAATCTAAAACTTAGAGAGTTGTGAGTTAATTTGTTTATATACTATCCTTTCTAAAACCCCCAGATTCAAATCCAGGAACATTGGATTTTTATTCGATCGCCTCTCGAAAGACAATGACAAATCACTAAAAGTATCTATATGCCACTAAGAATATGTGTAAGAACCTTTCTTAATCAGCCATTCGGAATCGGCATTAAAATGTAGGTCCCACAAATTGACTCCACGCAAAAAAATATTTTGCTGATCCACTAGAATTATAGCTGTTTTTTTGTATCTGATAGAAATGTATTATCATACGCATAGAATTTATAGCACAATCTAAAGTCTATCTCTGTCATCTATATGATTAAATGCAATACATATCCAATATCGCAGTACTTGCTAGAAATTTATTTACTTTAGGTATTTTTTATATTTGATAATTTTCGCTGTAACAAAATCACTTTTTGGAGTGTCCTGTAAAAATTGAAAATGCTATTAAAATTTTCAAGGAAACTGAGGAAGATCAAGGTCTGATTTGGGCCATTCCTTTCACCTTAAAAGAAGCCAAAACCTAATTTAGACTACCGTGCTGATGATACGAATCAAAAGTAATTATGAGTAACTATATATTTCTTCGTTCGTTGATTCACGGGAGTGGTTAAAGATTAACAAATAATTTTCTTCTTTTAAATATTATTGTATTTTAATTTATAATAATAATAAAGTATATGACCAAGAGTACTTCTAATTATGTTAATGAATAACTGTATGATTTTTTTCTCTTATAATTATTGTATAGTATGTTTCATATACGCATATTATTAAATCATAATCATTCCAATTGCATTTATCATATTTCTTCATGGTTTCTATAGAGGCAGCACGTGAAAGAGATAGTATTAGTTAAATGTTACATGCGCGTAGTTCTCGGTTGAGGTTGCCGCGTGTTCACCTTGAAAGTTCTTTATATAGATGGAAGCACCTATTCCTTCAAAAATACTTTCATTCACGTTTATAATATCTTAAGCAAAAAATACTATATCCTTTATTCTTATGTACACACTTTTAACGCGTTTAATATTAAATAACTAATCTTTATTCTAAAGTTGCAATCTTCTACGGATAGATAAAATTTAAATATGTGTATATAAGGACAATTAAAAGTATTATTAAAAATAATTTACTATTTGTATAGGTATTTTCAAGTTAAATTAAATAATTTATAATTTATAATTTCTTTTATTTTAGCAAATTATTAAGATAATTAACATAATTAACAACAGATTTAAAACATATAATATATTTAAGACAATTAAATTTTGTTTGAGTTAATAAGAAAGCTCCTGTCTCTTTCTCTCTTATATATAATAGTATCTTTAGGAAGTGACAGAGATTTGAGTGTCATGACGGTGATTTTTACCGTCAACGTTAACGTAATTTTTGCTTTCTCGCGGAAGTAAATGAGATTTCGGCCGTAAGAAATAGAAGAGCCTCTCTATTTCAGTCAGACTAAAATAAATCAAAAAGATTGGGGAAGATACGAGAGTGGCTGAGAGTAACTTATAACGAGACTCACGTCGTCGCCGGTAACCCATAATTACTGGCGCCGATGAAAAACAAAAAAAAAACAGCGGACGGCCGCCGTGCAGCCACCTTTTAAAAAGGTGTTAAAATGTGCTTTGTGCCTATGCGTTCACGCGGGGTAGGTGTTAATTTAAAACAAACCTAAGGATAGCGCCGATTTGAAATCCGGCCGCCGTGTACTTTTATTCGCCCTGAAATTTGACCAACCGATCTTCGTTTCAGTGGCGTATCAAGAAAATTTCCGCTCTTGCCTCAATATTAGCAACTTTCTCTCTTACATATTAAATATTAAACATTTTAAATAGGTCGTGCAATGTGACTTACTTTTATCTGGGATATATATATATAAAATTAAATTTTTACTACATATATTATTAACTATATATAATATATGTATGTACAGTAAATTATATTTGAGAGTTAATTAATTTTCTTATAGTTTTATAATTTTTTACAAAAAATAAATAAATAATAATAATATTGTAAATATTTTACAAAAATATGACAAAAAAATTATTATCATATAAATAATATATGTAGATATATTCTATATAATAAAATTCATTTCTTAAAAATGGATTCTTGGGTTCGGTAATTTTTGAACACGCCATTGCGACGGCAGATTTTCGTATATAACATGTAATCAGCACAGCAGTTTCGGACCAATTTTTTTTATGTTTACCTCCAGGCAATATGGCCCTTCGCACCTTCCCATTTTTTCTCATCACTCAAAGATGATTTTATGACTCGCGTCCACAAAGCGATGAGCAACGCCCTATAGAAAATCTAAAGCACAAGCTAATCTAGATACATAAACTACAGAGTATACTATTGTTCTCATTGCCATCAAATTATATTATATACAAATCATTTATCAGTAATGTCACTAATATTCATTGTGATATGAGGCAACTCTGCTTATCATCACATTGCAAAAAGACTTTAGGGTTGCGCGCGGACAATTTTTCATGCCGCATCATCATGCTACAATAATGCTCCGATAATAAAAGAGATAAGGAAACCGACTTTCCAGGCAAGCCCCAAGCGCGTATCTAATTCATTACAGATTCGATCGATCTTCTTCGAATCTCCGCAATGCACGTGGTCCAGGCGCTAACGAGACAGCTCCGGAGCCATTAAGATCCCGGCTTATCACGATCGGGATGCAGCACGTGAAAAGACTCTCCTTTTCCAAATTGAAAACGCACCGATATCGCGATGGACAATCGGCGAGGCGTGTATCTGCTTGCCCTCTAATCGCCAGTTAGTCCCGAACGCCGCGATCTGCCGATTTATCGATCCTCAGAATTAGCATTCGAGGCGTGCATCTCGACCGCGGATCTTTCGGGGCCGCAGCCACGTAAATTTTAGGGCTGCGCTCGCACAACTCGGGGGGGTTCACAGTGATCTCACCTGTGATCTATGCGTGGATCATCGACTAGCTGCTCCGACGCGTAGATCACGCACAATACATTCACGCGGTGGATAGGCAGAACATAATAAATCAAGAAATATTAATATCGCGATATAATGATGGTTTTTACGTGAAAGTTTGGCTCGTCGCGCTTCAATAGACCCCCGATTACTTCGGAGTGTAAAACCCGCCGAACGTAGAAACGCAACGGAAACTTGCGTGCATCGCGTCGCTTCGAGAGAAAGAAAGTTCTAATCCGACGGCCTCCATGAAAAACAGACGGGGCGCGTGGCCATATTTTACGGGCGGGGGCGTGAAACGGATAATTTTCGAAGGAAGCAATATCGGATCGTATATCAGGCTGCAGGAACGGCCGCCGTTTGGCTTCAAATTATCGGAAACGAGGGCCAAAACTAATGGGCCCTCGTTAGACCATTTGGCTCCTGCGGGGCACGCCGATGCTGATTCACGCCAATCCGCTCGCTATTTTCGCACCGAAACTAATCGCTTCTTATACTACTCGGACACATACGAAAAGCTTTACGTTTAGAAAGAAGATTATACAAATATGGAGGGGGATACGTTTAAATATTTATGTAATTGTCGCCTTTTTCAGTTTACTGAAAATTACATTTCTCAAACGCGTAAAATGCGATCAAATGCTTTTATAACCGATGCTTTTATACTGTAAATCAAAAGTGTGGAAATTTATACATAGTGAAAGAAATGTGAATACTACCAAATTTGATTTTTAGTAAATCTCCACAGGATGTTGTCGCAGACCGTCCCGGCGATTGCTGTTTGAACCGGCATGGTAAGTATTCTGAAGTTCACATCCGTGTAATTCAGGGATGACAGTAAGAAGATCGGCATTCGATCGGACATGATCCAGAGTAAACCGCGTTTTACCTACGATAAGAGTAAGCGAGAGTAAATGAAGATGGAACTTCATAGTAGATAATTAGTCTTAATTACAGAGTACTGAGCACCTTAATATCTGCTGGAAATATCAAAGCCTCGTCGTGTCTGGCAACGATAGCCTGATTGATCGGCGCATAAGGTAACATCGAATTCCAACAGCCGATTGCGTTCTGATCGATCAAGTTGAAGAACTGAAGTCCGTTCTCATCCATTACGGATGCTGTGCAATGAGAGAGCGGACCTCTCGACGACAACGCCTACATCAAACAAAAATAAATAATGAGACACGATAACTATATTTAATTTGTAATCAAATTACAGATAACAGATCAAATTCAGAAAAGGAGGTGAAATAAATTATAGGATATTGCTATAAAAATGTGAAAAGATATAACAGAAAAAAATAGATAAAGAAAAAACAAAAACATAAGGAATTTCTATTGAATATTTTGCAATTATCAAATCTCAAAGTATCTAAAATAATTTCTTTTCATTTTGTAAAAGAATGTAATGTCGGTATATAATTAAAACCAGACGCAAAGATTTTATTGTAATAATTCTAAAAAGTCTAAACTCCACCTAAAATAAAAAATAAAACCTTTTCAAAATACGATCGTGATAAAGATATTAAAAAAAAATACCTGAAACTCGTGATAACTGTTTTGAGACAGCTGCTGGTCTCTTAGAATCCTCGTGGATACCGCGAATTCTCGATAGCTGCTAAGGGGATGAAAGAAAAGTGTCCGATAGCCGTCTGCTAATATTGGCGACAAACTCATTCCAAAAATACCTTCAGTTCCCCATTGAAAATTCAAGCCTCCTATATTGTAATCACCCGCCAGAGGATCCGGCATAAAATAACTATGCGTTATTCGCCAGGATGTATTTTGCTGCCACGAATACACGATCAGACCGTAGCCAAGTTCATCGGACATATAAGCGAAGGCGTCGTTGCAACCGCCTTTTCCCAAATCAATCGCGATGTTGGCGATAAAAGTGTTCTATATAATAAAAATTGCAAAGTTGAAAATTGAATCAACCAAAAATTTTAAAGATCATATAAAATACAAGTCCAATGTAAAAGGAACTATACTCGATTAATGTCTTCCGATCTGAGCCTGTATTGTCTCAACAACTTGTCTGTGGTCAAATCAAACACGTTCAAAGTATAAGGACAGACTTGTATAGTTGTTTCATCAATTCCTATTGTTCCAGTATCTAACACCCACAGTCTATCACATATATCTACGTGAATCCTGGAAAAAAATACTTAACAAATTTATAAATTTATTAACATTAAATAGAAAAAAATAGAAAAATTTTAAATACTTGTAGTATATATATTTCCATTAAGATTAGTATATATATATTTCGATTAAATTTTCTTTCTTGTCACCTGTAAACAGTGGTCAACCCACTACCACAATCACCCGCCTTATTTTGGGCCCAATTTGGATAAGGTATAAGCTTTGGCGATCTACCTTGATTAGCATCCAACGGTATATAATTCAACGTGGACGGTATTCCTGTGTACAAAACGTTAAGTGTCCGAATCTATTGTTACACTATCATCTTATCTACGAATTTGAATAATTAATTTTGGAGTCAATAATAATTAGTATATAAAGTGCAAGACAAAACGAACATTGATTCGCAACTAAATGGTGTAAAAAGAAAGCTGCGAGAGAAACTAAGGAATGCGTGAAAGGAAGGAATTGCGAAGAGTCCGTGAGGTTCTCCGAAGGAAGTGAAGGGGAGACGAAAGGGTAGAACATTAAAGATCTTACACAACGTGCCGCCGTCATTGTCCGGTCTTTGTGCGACACAAAAAACGGTGGCGCGCGCCAACGTATATAATAAACATAGAGCGTGCAAAAAGATGAAGTGAATAAAGGGCAGCGAGAGCTTGAATAAACCCGTTCGTCGCCGTGTTTCCCTTCCCTCGTGAAGCAGAGGAGAGGCAGAGAGTGTCGGAGGAACCATGAAGGTGGAGGCGGAGGTCGACAAAGACAGAAACGCTCCCATTGAGCGCACACTCGCGGTTTTCGGCGCTTTTTGTCGCGGGCCGGAAGTCGCTCAGACGGGAATCGAGGCGTGTACCTCCTATGGCGATCTTCCGCGTATTATGCCGGCGTCTGCTTCCGGTTCATGACTTTGAAGCATCGCGCCTCGTTTTTGGCAAAAGACCCATTTGTCTGTCGCGTCATAAGATGTTAATCGAGACAATAGCGAAGCCGCAATTAATAATGAATAATATTTCGGACATTTACCATCGCGCCATCGTGGTATCGTGACGAATAGCTTATTCCTCCAGATTTCGATGCCGACTGGCAGAGAATTCTCCGGCACGTATTCACCACTTGCTATCGCTAATTGTCGGCTGCGCTCATCGGGATAAGCGAAATCCATTTTTTTCCAGATGAATTTCTCCAAAAGCGGAGCACGTCCAAATTGCATGCCCCATACTTGAATTCCATCGACGTTTCCAATTCGTAGTAATAGAAAGTTCGAAACAAGGATGCAATTCCAGATGCAATAATTTCTCATTTTTGTTATTCAATCTCTCCCTTTCTGTGTACAGAAATATATTTGTCTATTATCTTAAAAATATTATTATATAATAATTTTTGGAAAAATAACAAATAAATATTACATATTCATAAATATTATATAAATATTCCGTATAGGTACTGTTACATACATCAAACTAATTGTAAGACTACTGATTAAAATTGTGTCTGTGATACATAAAAACAAAAACTCTGTCTGCAGAAAAAATGTGAATTGCCTGTACATATAATATATAATATCCAATATTTTAATAGATACGCACACGTTATTTAATTTACATTTTTACACAATCATTGGACATATATTAGCACTTAACATTTTTAATACGATACGCGTACACGTGTATATATATTTGCAAGGAATCAAGAAAGATTATCGATTTTTATATATCGTTATAAAAAAATCCTTCAGTAAAAGGAATAAAGTATTATGACATATATTTACTAATACTAATTATTCATCATTTCTCTAATCGGTTTTGATATTAACATATATGTATTATATGTATTATAGAAATAAAACATTCATCTTATTCCATTTCAAATATAAAATATATATTAATATAAATAATTAATATATTATATTAATATAAAAAAAATTAACTTTCTACCGCAATATTGTAAAGATAAATTTATAATTAGGTAGTGATGTCAAAATTTATTTAAAGTTAACGAATCAAATGTATCTTCTCCAGCGACTAAATTTACGTGATAAATATATTGAATGTTAATAAATCGAATTTTATGTATTTACCGCGTTTATCCAACGCTTGAATGCGGCATCAGTTTGGATCTTCTTTCGCAGGAATAACCTAGATGTCAGTCAATAAAGTTCCGAGGAAAACGCGATGGAACTAACGGAAGATCGAGTTTCAATCTCCTAGAAACTTGCCGTCACTCTTTCAATCCTAAACTGCGTGTTCTGCAAAATGCTCGCCATATATATGGCACCCAACCCTGTGCGAAACCATGCCCCATATCACGTGGAAACTTATGCCCTGTACGGAGAGAAATGCATCTTGGTATCAGTGAGTGCACCTATGTTCGCATACTTTCCAAGCCGTCAACCAGTACGAATATGCACTTATGCGTATCGACGCGTCAATTTAATTGATTGCGGAAGAGGGATTTTACGCGTGCCTTAACGCTTTAGTACCGAATCCATCATGTTTTTAGATAATCATAATTTGTTATAAAACATTCGTATGTGAAATGTCTCATTTTTATTAAATTATATCTGAGTCACAAGTTTGGGGTTGATTATTAAATTATTTAGAAATGAGATTATTGCCATCTCAATGCAAGTTATAAGAATTCACAAAACAATTAAAATAAATATATAAATATAAAATATAAATAAGGACTCTCAATTTTCAGCAATAAAAATTTGATAAGACTAATAAGAGTTATGCGCAGTTGTAACAGCGAAGAGATAAGCAAAGCAAATAAATCTCAGGTGCTGCTGGGTATCTTCGATTTATTTCGAACGTTTCAGCTCCTTTCGGAGTCATCCTTAGTGAATACAAAATCAAATAACTTCCATTGAGAGCAAGTCACTTGCGGATTGCCAGAAATGAAACATATAGGGGGGAAAAGATAAAAAACGAAGCTCAGAGAAATAACGATTCACATTTATAACATTGAAGAAGAAATTACATTGTATAATATATATTATACAATGTAATTTCTTATTGAGTGGAATGTATGCTGCATTTCTGGCAATCTGCAAGTGAATTGTTCTCAATGAAAGTTTTTTGATTATGTATTCGCTGAGGACGACTCCAAAAGAAGCTGAAAACGCTGAATGAAATAAATTAAAGATAACCAGCAACACCTGAGATTTATCTGCTTCGCCTATTTCTCTGTTTTCACAACTGCGTATGACTCTCACTAGCCTTACCTAATTCTTATTTATATTTTATTGTATAAGAATTCACGTTCTTTCTTGTATTTCTGTAAATTCTTGTCTCACTCGTAAATTTTTTAATCCGACAGTCGCAAATTAAAGAAAGAAATAATTCCTTAGCTATTAAGTAAGAAGTGATATATTTAATCTTTAAAAGAATCTATTCGAGATACTTTCGTAACTTAGCACATAACAGTATAATTAAATAGCGCAACAAAAATGGCTAACAAGCCCACTAGCTGGTCATGATTTCTCTCGTTTTTCTTCACATTATGACTACTTTACAAGTAAGCTGCAAGTTGTGGACTAATTAAGCTAAGTGTGACCATAATTAAATATAGTCCGGTTAGACTTGTTGTTCGCAATGACAGCAACATGTAAACAAGATTTCTACAAAGCATAAGTTATATCGATGTGTATACGATCAATCCCCGTTATTTCGGCATTAGTTGCGCAAACGGTGCAACGATTAAATTGAATCTGATAGCAATTTAATTAAATTCATAAATCTCCGGAACGTCTATCGGAGAACGTTGCGGACGCGCGATGAACGTGGAAACGCGGGCGGGCATTGCGGTTTCGGGGAGGCAGGAAAGTCATTCGTTAGCCATAACGAGGTGACGACAAAAAGCCGCCGTCTGTCTCACGGATGATCGGCTCCCGAGAATAAATTCCCGAGGGCACTCCGTTATCTTCCCGCGCGAACTGACGGCTGAAATTGCGTTCAGCCCTTTTCTCCTTACTCGCCCCTTTCACCTCTCTTCTTTCCTATCCCCTTCGCCCACTTCACCGTGTTTCATTAATCAGCGCGCCCTTTCTGAAGGGCGCAATCAGAATTTACGAAAATGAATAATTGCCGGCGGGTGAAAAATATTATTCCGGCTTAATTATCGATGACGCGCGACATTAACGGTAAACCGAATTGCAATGTACGGTCAAATTAATGCGTTGCATTGTGACGGAATATGCGAGTCTGTGCAAGTAACTCAGCGTGAATCCAACATCGTGTCTTTGAGAAATTTTCACTTCCAGCTTCAGCTCAATTTAGTTGTAGTCAGGAAGTCATATTCGTTTTTTTTTTCTATTTTCCAAGTTATTACGATGATTATAAGTTATCAACGATTTGAGAAAAATCATCGAGAACGAGATACATCGTATATTTAGTATATCCACTTCCTATTTTCGTAGTAATCAAAAATCCAGGCGGTTTCTGATCTATCAGTCAGAAGCATAAATAATTTGCAGCACAAATAAAAATTATACGTCAATTTTGCGTCAAGATTACCAATAAGTGACGTTATATTAATGTCAAAAATATTAAAATTGCACGTGTGACACGACATGTACAACATGTAGTCGCGCCAAGCTAATTTTTAATCTCTTCTTGTCTACGTTGAACTACGTTCACCTTTTATCGTTGTCAAAATAGTCTCTGAAACAGAAAGATCATTCGAAATTGACCGGGCAATACTATTTTAATGTATAGTAATTTGCCTGGATTCAATATCTTTTTATGAACTAAATCCATGAATTTTGCATAATTTAATTGATTGATAGTCATGCAACGGTGAATAAATGAAAGTTCACGATGTCGGTGCATGGCATGTTCTTATCAATCATCGTTAACTCCATTGGTCGTTCGTATAATCTACTTACGACTTTCGTTACAGCCGCGAAGTTAATAAGGATCGACTTCGTCAAGTCACTTTCTTGTGATCATAGATCGCCCTATCAAGGCTGCCTAGATTGCTTCCCGGATCGCCCGCAGATTTTCTAGTTGACATGATAATTTAAAAGCGGCCACACGCGCTTGAATCTCAGCAACTCTCGTCATTCTCATCATTCTTTCATCAAACGCGTTTTGCTATTAAAATTTCAAGATTTTCAGAATTTTCATCCGGTCAGTTGAGTGCATTCGCAATTTGCGGTAAAAGATTAACGAATTTAATCGCTCGCGTTACATCAAGACAGATTTTCGGAAAAATGTTATTACTATTGGAAGTTTTTTCGAGGAGAACATATTATATTTAAGTTAGAAAATGGAGTGAGTGGTAATCAGACGGTAGTATCGCGGGAAAATATTGTGGATACTCCTGGGTATTACATGTACACTGCCATAATGTATCCGCTAATTCAACCACGCGGCTAATTGCACGGTTTGCGTTCCATGGTAATTATTAGGGAACATACGAATACATAACACTGATGTATTGTATGTGTAATTACTACGTACATCCTACATCAATGTAGTGTAAGCTTTTTTTTAAGTATAATTGTGATCATCGCTGATGCTTAGCAGGATTTTATGTTTAATTATTTTACCTATCGCGGAGTATAATTAAATTTACTTACCCTTCTCTTCGGATAACATCAACGGTGAATCATAATATTATAAAATTGATAACAATAATAACATACATAATGTCAGTATCTTAATAAGGGTAAATAAAAATTTAACGTAACTTTCGTAATTATTATTTCATATTCCTGCAATTAGCAATTTTTATGGTTCATTGCGACACATAAAACATGAATGAGCCACATTTGCAGTACTCGTTAATTTCATTTGCGCCACGCGCTCGAGAATAAATCTCTGCCCCCGAGCTCAGAATTTTACATACGAGTCATCGACGTATTTGGCGAGCGGTACCTCTGAAGGTCTCAGACAAATTGCAATCATTAGTCTCCGGGATCTGATTATAATGAAATAATTGGTACACACGGTCTTCCTATGAGTTTTGTATAAGTCGCAGCTGCAAATTGAAGGGAAATAACAGTGAAGTCCGCAAATAAAACCATAATAACACGAACGATACAAGGAAAGTTCGTCATTTGCGGATCCAATTGTGCAACGAGAAATTAGCGGTTCGGTTCCAGAAGATCGACCTCGTTTTCATTAAATGGACAATTGTGGATATGCAAGTAAGACAAAGTAGTGATTTCGACTTTTAATAAATGTCTTTATAAAAAATATTAGTGAAACGCAGGATGATGTGTGTGTGTGTGTGTGTGTGTGTGTGTGTGTGTGTGTGTGTGTGTGTGTGT